TCCGTTGTAGGGTTTTAGTGAGGCGCGCCGATCCGTTGTAGGGTTTTAGTGAGGCGCGCCGATCCGTTGTAGGATTTGTGTGAGGCGCGCCGATCCGCTGTAGGGTTTTAGCGAGGCGCGCCGATCCGTTGTAGGATTTGTGTGAGGCGCGCCGATCCGCTGTAGGGTTTTAGTGAGGCGTGCCGATCCGTTGTAGGGTTTGTGTGAGGCGCGCCGATCCGTTGTAGGGTTTTAGTGAGGCGCGCCGATCCGTTGTAGGGTTTTAGTGAGGCGCGCCGATCCCCCGCGATACAATAATACTGTGTAATTGCTATAATTTTATGATTTACCGACCCTATAATAGTAATTGCACACATTGGGGTGGCGGTGGAGTGAAGAGGACGTGTAACTTTGATGAATTTACCTGAGAGTCGCGTGGTGGGTGTCGAGGCCTAGCACCGTGCAGAGCCTCCGGCCTCGCCTGATTTTCCCACCCGGTTGAGGCTGGGTACGGGTGCCGTTCCCCCCCCCCCCCGCGCTACAATAATACTGTCTAATCGCTATAATTTAATAATCGACCGACCCTATAATAGTAATTGCACACATTGTGGTGGGGGGGGAGTGAAGAGGACGTGAAACTTTGTGTTAATGCGTGCGCCTATTTTTAACGGGAATAAAAAATGGCGTCCACCCCGCCGCGAAGGCGTCGCTACCCGTTGTCAGGGGCAACCGCCGTCCAATGAAAGCGGCGAAGGGGTCGCTACCCGTTGACAGGGGCAACCGCCGTCCAATGAAAGTGCGTATGGTCCGGCGACACACAGACACACACACAGACAGACAGATTCACGATTTTATATATATAGATGTAGTGTATAATATGTATATATGTGACACTGAAATCGAGCATAGCTACTTTGTGTGTCACATGTGTCGTGTCTTCAAAAGTTACTCATACCGACACGCAACAAGTCACCTACTTACACTTTATTCACCTATTCTTGCACCAGTTGTAGGCACTCCTATAACTATACGGTCACTTATGGTTAACTTCTCCCTACTCTTATCTACCTTCCGCCTCCCTTATCCTGCGCTCAGCAGCTCCGCACACAGCGTCTCCGCACACAACGTCTCCGCACACAGCGTCTCACACACAGCGTCTCCGCACACAGCGTCTCCGCACACAGCGTTTCCACACACAGCGTCTCACACACAGTGCCTTCGCACACAGCGTCTCCGCACAGCGTCTCACACACAGCGTCTCACACACAGCGTCTCACACACACCGTCTCCGCACATAGCGTCTCCGCACACAGCGTCTCACACACAGCGTCTCACACACAGCGTCTCCTCACACAGCGTCTCACACACAGCGTCTCACACACAGCGTCTCACACACAGCGTCTCACACACAGCGTCTCCGCACACAGCGTCTCCGCACACATCAACTCTACACCTCCACCGCTGCCCTCACGCTCCCTCAGACCTGCTCACCAGTCTGTCCCGGGTGAGGGGATCACCATCACCCGCCCGGCGACAGCGTAAGGGTTGAGGTTCCTTTGGCGGCTGCGGCGAGATGTCTTCACACTTGGTCCCCGGCAACAACTCCCCCGCTCCGCTCACGCACACGCCCTTATATACATTCCTCTGCTAATTATCCGAGACCTCTCATGCGTCTCTTTAAGCTGTCGCCAGGCTAGCGCCTGTCGGCCCATCAACCATCTCACGTCTCCCTTGCAGCACCTCCGGTCTCAGCGTGCACAACCGGTCGACTGCGTTTGCACCTGTGTAATGCCGATCGGTGGGGTGGGCGTCACCGCCTCAGCCTCTAAGCCAATCGGGTAACAGGAACTATCGAGGTTAAAGTTCAAGGGCGGAGCCCAAGGGTGCTAGTGGGGTACCATCTACCACCTGATGACGGAGACTTGTGTTGCCTCCGAAACGTCGTGATTTATTATTTTATTTCTATTATTATTTCTTTTAGATTCTTAATTTTTACCTACGTGACTTTACCGAAAAAAACCTAAGAGTGTGAATCCTTGCAGTCACGAAAGCTTCAAATCTAGAACCATCTACAGAGTTTGTGAGGGGGTGTGGCGAGAGGCGGGGTCTGGGTGATGCGGGAAGGGGTTATAAGGAAAAGCCGGAAGGGACTCAGGGTCAGTGAGGAAGGTCTGGAAGCGTGGCCACGTCTCGGGACGGGCTCCTAGCGCACCCGTCTGCCAGCGGTGCGCGGGAGCGGGAGAGAGCGGAGAGAGCGACGCGCGCGGGACACCAGTTCACGCTGTGCAACGCGGGGCGAAGGAACAATGTGGAAGAACGCGGAGCTGTCCAGCACGAGAACAAATAAATAAAGAAGACACAGTCGATTGTCGTCGAGCTGATTTATTACACCTGCATTGCCCCTTACAACTGGCGGTTTGTACGTGCAAACCTCACGCTGCACCTGATTGTCCTCAGTTTCCCTCGGTTAACTGTGCGCACCGCGTATTTCACTCCTCTACACGTGCACACGGTGGCGATAGCTGGACTGGGCCACAGCCTTTGGAGCGGTTTTGTCGGATTGGCCCGGGACAGCCGGATAATGTTGGAAGCAGCTGGATAATCGATGATAAACTATTGATCTGCTTTACATTTTCACGTGACAAAGCCGCTTCGTTGAGCTATCATCTGTGGTAGCCAGGTCACTTCTGACAGCTCAGTGGGCCTTAAGTGGTAAATAAATAAATAATCTTTAGTTTTTGGTTTAGTGTTGCCCCCTTGCATATATGGGTTTTCTCCAGGAGCTCGTTTTCTCCTACATAAACACTAATCTAGTTACAACTCCCCAATATAGAGAGGATCCCAGAGCTTGGGCATTTGCTGGCACCGGCTCTCCGCTTGGCTGCTGCTGAATTCCCACTCGTCTGTGGTTCCTGCTCGCTCCTCTCAAGTCGTTCTCTCGCTTCAAGAGCGAGTGAGTTAATAACTGCGGCGCGTTACGAGTTGAAGTTCTTTTCTGCTGCAGTTGGAATTAGTGGTCAGTCGGCTTTGTTAGCGTGGCACCCAAGCTATGGAATGCCTTGCCACTTGAAATCAGGCAGTCGGTAGACATTTAAGTCTGCTTTGAAAACCCATCTATTTTTAAAGTGGCCTACCCTGTATAGTTTGGTCAGTTGGCCTGTCTTTGTTTTTGTTTCCTGCTTTTCATGCATTGTGCATTGGGAACCTAGGATGGAATGTGCATTGTACATTTGAACTATATTTTTCACATTCTTGCGTCTCTTCCCCCAAACAGTATCCTGATTCTTCTACTATCGATGTTGCATCACGAGACGTCAGTATCCATTCTGTACTTTAACACAGCATTGCAACCTCCCTGTATTTAACACATTCCTGCGGAGGGAGCTGGTAGGAACGTTGGGTTGCTTGGTCAATGGCCAGGGTCAACGGAGGCGTGGTGTATTCCACAAATATGCCCGACTGTGAGGGCGGGCACAAGCCGGCGTGAGTAGGTTAAACGTTGAGTTTTATAAGGGCACCACGGAGTGACCAGCCCCTCCCCACCCAGCCCCACCCCTCCCAGCCCCACTCCTCCCACCCAGCCCCACCCTCCCCACCCAGCCCCTCCCCACCCTCCCCTCCCCACCCAGCCGCTCCCTCCCCAACCAGCCCCTCCCTGCACGACGGACGGACACAATAATCCCCTGTGAGCTGGTCTAACCAGGAGGTTCCAACCAGTAAAAATGTATGTGTAGCTATGGAATTGACAGCAAGGGCGTTGCGGTGGCGAGATGTTAACTACCTCGCCTGGTATACAGGAGGTCGTGGGTTCGATTCCGACCCTGACGCCTGCTGTATATTTGGTCACGTGGATTTTTCCCTGGGTCCTCTGGCTGCTATAAATTTCCACGTGATAAGCCACTTCGTTGAGCTGTCATTTGTAATAGCCAGGTCACGTCTGAAAAAGAGCTATACAGCTCAGTGGGCCTTACCTGGTAAAATATATTTTTTTAGTAAGTTGATTAAAGAGTGCTTCAAGAAAAGCCAACGTCCCTGTGTGTGTGAAGAAGCAGGTGATTTCCCAATACACTCCATTGGGTCCGATTCTGGTGTTCATAGTGGAAGTTTGTAGTGATATTTGGTCATAACAAAAAATCGAATTATCCCTCGGTGATCAAGAGCAATTGCCTTTCTACCAAAACGTGATTCAGGCCTGGCCACCTCTGACGAACAGCTCATATCTCAATGGGCTGTACCTGACAGAACATTACAGGTAGTCCTCTACTTACGATGGAGATGCGTTACGACGACCCCATCGTAAGTCAAAAATATCGTAAGTCGAAGATGGCCTAGCCTACCCAGGAGTCTTAAAGAATGGTGATCATTCAGCGAAACAGAGCAATGTACTTTACCGTACTGTATATACTATATACTGTATGTATTTATTAATTACAATACTGTATTGCACAGTGAAATGTAAAGTAAAAAAAAACAAGATAAATTCTTAGCCTACCTATATGAACTACAATTTAACAGAAAGTTTTTTCAGGAAACAATCCTATCTGCTATAAAAACTTTTAACCCAAAAATGAAGTCGCTAAAGCTACGTATCATACATGCATTGAACGTATCGTAACGTATCATATTGTACGGTACTCGCCAAGATTAGTACCTGGTACGCTGCTGCGTTTGCCTGCCGCGCGAAATTTTTTTATATTTTACAATTTTGTCGTATCGCCATCGTAAGATCGAAATATCGTAAGTCGGACCATCGTAACTCGGGGACTATCTGGACATCCATGAATGAGAGCAAATTATTCCTCTGCACTAATCACACCTCCGATTAGCACGGTTGGCTACATACGGTGCGAAATAAGTTCATCGCACATACACAAAGTTGCAAACCAGTTATCAACTTGAATGAGTTTTGGGCATTGTTAGAAAGTACACTTTATTGCGAAGAAAATGTCATCAACAATTAACTTGGCAATTTACACAAGACCTGAAATATCTTGAATTACAGAAGATTGACATCCCTTAGCCAAGAGCGATGCTGAAGCGTGGGAAGGTAACTAGGAAACACAGACACCATCGTGAAGCATGCACGGTAAAGCCACCGCCTCCGCTATAACCGCGCACGTGGCCGCATGACATTCTCGCCGAACCTTGTAAGCCACAGGCCCTGGGGGGCATGCATATGCGTGGATTAGCGCGCACGGTATGGACACCATAAACAGCGCACAATGACATGCTGATGGACAATCTACTTCGGTGGTACTGTACACCTAAATATGTTTTTAAACAGGGCACAACCACCTGATGAGACTCGAGGAAACGATAAAGAAACCAATGTTTTTTTATTTTACCAGGTAAGGCCCCGATTGAGCTGTGGTAGCTCTTTTAAGAAGCGACCTGGCCACAAATGATAGCTCAACGGAGTGGCTGGTCGTCACGTGGGAATTTATAGCAGCCAAATACTCCTTAAGCGCATGTTGATTCTAAATATGGAGGGGACAACCCTAGGACCTGGAGAAAAATCCACGCACCCACGGGGAGAGAGAGACATTTCGAGGCGAACAAAGCCTCACCAGGGTTTTCTATGACGCATTGCTATTAAAGAGCCCAATAATTTGGTATATTGAAATGTGATTTTATTGCAGAGGGTAAACAAGCTCCCTTTTTGTGACTTTATGTAAATATATATTGGTTTGAATAAAAGTGTTTGAGGAATTTGCTTTTCTCTTTGATGTGCATAACTATGCTGGGACTGCATCCGACAAACCATTGAACATACCTACATGCGTAGGTATGTACAACTTGATAACACTGTAATCAACTAAAAACTGACAGTGTGTATTGTTAGGGTGTTCATGAGGTTGCTTAATCTGTGGAACTGCCAGTGTCTCTGAGTTAGATGAGGCATACATATTATTTGCCTGTAAGAGACCACTTTATGTGCGTTTACACCACGTTTTTTTTATGGATTCTGTTTTTTATTCCTTAATATAATGCCATCGTGTTTTAGGCTCAGTTTATATTACAATTATTATGGCAGATTTAAAATCGTGTTTTTAGAGATATATATTAAAAAAAATTAGGATAATTTGTATATTGCGATTACAATTTGCTATCTATTTTTTTACGTCGCTTATTTATTGTTTATTATTGATTTATTTTTACCGTCACTTGTTGCGTATGTTGGAGGAAGCGGTGGTGTTGTTTTTTGTTGATGAAACACGATTCGAGAGCTCCTTGGCTCACAGAGTAATGCAAAATAAACTGAAACTTAATGGACAGCTGAAGAAAGCCAGTTTGGGTTCGGAAATATATATTTTTGCACGGACATCATTTGCCGTAGCAAGTGTAAAGCGTTCCAACCTCCCCCCCCCCCCAAATCTACGCTCAATTCGTCTGGTCAAATTCACCTTATGGCACGTGAATTTTTTATAAATGTAACTCAACAGAGTATCACTTAAAAATTGTACAATTTTTTTTCCATGCTGTCATTGTGGATTATAGGTAAATAATAATAGGTCTGCATCACCACATTAGAATTCCATCTTGGTTGATCTGCCTATAGGTTGTTTAATACTGCAGTGCGTTACCTCAAAATCCAATACGGCAACATTGCGAATGCTTTTGCACCATGTCGCTGGGTGATGGTGAAGGGACCCACCCCACAGTGTTCATGGAGACCTCTTGCCTACACGAGGCAATCCATACCCATTGTAATGAGCAGGCTAAATGGGGCACAGGAGGGCCAGAGAAAGATCGGCTTCATTTTATTTACCCGAAACCATGTTGGCGCTCACCCACTTAAACAGTAAGCTGCTCATTAGTGAAACAGACATGTGTCCGTTTATTTTGTAGATTTAAAAAAATGCATGTTCATCAGGATGTCATTGTACACGTACGGTAGCTGGGGACCTCGTAAGCGACTGCTTGGACCTGTCCATGAATTGGCAAGCCTCCCTCTTTCCAATGTGTTTTCGGGTCATACCATGTTCTTGTACCATGTTTGTTGTCCTTCCCCTGTACCTCCGATTAGCACGGTCGGCTAACACGTACACGTTCGGCTTCTTCGGGAGCTCTCGTGAAACTGAAGAAGCTTGCAAAAAACATCGGAGACATCGTGCCCGACAACGCGCGGTGCAACCATAAAAAAACACATCGAGAGAGGGCTACGAAGCACGATAAAAACGCGAAAACGCACGCAGCAGAACTCTCCGTCAGTAGGGCGGGGGCCCTCGCGGGCACCGTGCCGACCCCTTGGGCGCGTGGTGGCCGGGGGCCTCACAGGGGGCCCACGTCCCACCAATGCGTGGCGGCGAAGTGCGCCCGGCGCGTGCTGGAGCCGCAGTGGACCTCGCCCTTCTTCACGTGGTGCGACAGGAGGTCGTCCACGAAGGAGCAGCGCAGGCCGAGGGGCTCGAGCAGCGAGCACACGCTGGTCTCGAGGGCGCACTGCTCGTCGATGATCGGACCGAACGGCTTGGGGATGGCCAGCTCCTTGTTCAGCACCACCATGTTCACCTGCGAGTCGTGACACGCGCAAGAGGTGAATTTTCTTTCACGTGTGTCTGTTTAACTTCTTTAGCAGCGTATGTTGCCAACCGCGCTAATCCGATGAGTGTCTCACAGTTTATAACGGTTTGTTAGAAACGTCATTGCTGTGTTCACCTTTCCACAATAAAGAATACGACGTTTAGCCAATTCTGGCCGTCCCCTTATGATGCTAATTGTAATTATTGGCGAAACATTGTACTCATTGTGAACCCGAGGTTTGCCGCACAACATTGCAGCAGCAAAACAATGACGAGGGCGTCCACACGCACCACGTTGGAGAAGTAGGCCTCGGCCTTGCTCTTGTTGAGGAGGAAGAGCACGGGGAGGTCGATGATGTCCGCCTCCTCCAGGCCCAGCTCCCTCTTGAGCACGTCGCGGTTCCAGTCGATGCAGCGCTGCCACCACACACAGGACAGATAAACGGGGAGCCGGGGGATCGCGTCCCGTCAAGGCCGTGTGGCAGGTGCCTCCCCTACGCCGGCAAGCTGTTAACGGCGCTGTCTCCACCGCTGCGTACGTCCAGTGGTGGCTCGGTCGATGATTCCATCGATTAACAATCCGCCTCCCATAGGGTCCCATTTCTATCGAGATTTGAAGCTTTTGGGACTGCAGTAATCTCTCTGGTTCTTTCGGTAAAGTCACTGTGGTTTTCCCACCTGATGACGATTGCTTGTGTTGCAATCGAAACGTCGTGATACGGTTTTACGATATCACGCGGCCGCCCATTTCGGCCAATCGGAGCGGTCCCAAGTGGAGTCAGCCAACCTCAGCTTCTCCATCAACCCCTTAAGCCGCTATCCATCTTCTTAGCCAAAGGCAAGACATTTGATTCATTATTTATCCATTTTTCTATTAATATAAATGCTCTAATATGTTCCTATAACGTGTTTTTATTAAATATTATAACCTATGTTTTTAGGGTGAAAAAGATCAACTTCTGGTCGTCTTGGAAAAAATTAAGCCTTTAACGTGCATTTCCTATATTCGATTAATGATGATGTCAAGTAACGATGGTTTTCGTGGACCCAGTTAACATCGTTAACCGAGGGAGCATCGTATATCTGTACAGCGGCTGGGAGGGCAATCGCTCGTGATGATAGTATCGTCGCTCCGGTGTTTGTCAGCAGGCATGGAACATTCATTGACTTAAATTGATTCTTTCTGGGCAGTCGCCGCTGATTGAACCGGGTCCTCAAGTGTCGTGAGTTGATGGTCTCTGCATTAAATAAAATACCAAAAATACCGTCACGTTAAAGTTGGTTCTGGAATTCATTCGGATAACATTTCAGCTCTGGAAATTCAAAATGTTGGTTTGACTGTCATACCATGAATATTAGTCTGTCACAGAGGAAAGTGCTGCCCCCTACTGTGTGAATCGGAGGTCACTTGCCGGGATTTTCAGAACTAGTTCAATGCTATTCACTTCCATAGACACGAACGTTCGCACTGCTGTGCGAGAGCTCCTTTTTGGAACTTTATCTCGCGATTGAAAAAGAGCCTTTTAGCTCGTCGAATTCCTCCAGTACAAAGACATATTTTGATTCTGACGATGCCAAACGTGCAATCGGAATAAAATTGGGTAAATAGACCACAAATTAGAATGTTTTAAAAATCTGATTCTAACATTCACGAAGCGTGCATGCCGATTTTATTTATCAGAATATCTATCTTGGAGGAATCCGATGAGCTATAAAGCTCTTTTTCACAGATGTCCAGTAAGAGGGGTGGGGGTGAAGAACGTTAAAACAACGAATAGAAAACATGTTAATAGTGCAAAGTACAAGAAAGGTAAACAAATCACCCACATACAAATACAACTAAACCATCCCCATCCTACTAGGCAAAACACACTGAAGGTCGTCCTATTCAAAAAAACTAAAAAAACTTTTAAAATGTGACCAGGTAAGGCCCACTGAGCTATAATGCTCTTAAGTCACGGAGATAGGTTCAAAAATAATATTATTTAATATTATTTTTTTAACCTATCTAAGTGAACCTATCTACGTGACTTTACCGAAAGACCCAAAGAATATGAATTCCTGCAGTCACGAAAGCTTTAAGTCAAGATTTATGAAGCTCTTTTTCAGAAGCGACCTGGCCACAAATGATAGCTGAACAAAGTGGCCCATCATTTGTATCAGAAAAATAATGATTACATGATTTATTCTAATCGTGGAATTGTGCATCTAAAATTCGATTCCTTACAAGTTTATAAAAAATAATTGTTTGGAAAAAAATTGATGTGACCCTGCATGGGCGAGAACAGGTCGAGATGTTTCGAATGATACGTTGCAAACCGCTGCCGGGGTGGTGAGCGGGACACCTCACCTGCACGTAGGTGTTCTCCATCTTGAACTTTTCATCCACAAGGATCTCGCTGATCACCGCAGAGCCCTTACTTTTCAACACTGAGGGAACAACAAACGCACACACAAGAGGGCAGAGTCAGTCCTAGCTTATTCTCTCTCTTGGTGATTTGAGGATCTTCTCATTCACAATCCCGACGTTCTTTCTGCACAAAATTATGAGTGTGTGTGTGGCGGGTGGTGGTGTGCCTGTCTCCGTTTGGCAGCCGTAACGCAGCGGTGGGGCATTCCACATTCATACGAAGAGGCCGGTCTCTCCGTATGACGATCACTTTTAACGAGTCGAATTGACCCCGGCGACCAGGGTTTGAACTTCGCAACCTTCTGATTTTAAGTTTAGCGCTCTGCTAGAAATTAACTCGGCCAGCCGCAGAACAGTTGTCCCAGATAGACCCAAGTAGATGGTGGATATTGTAAAAATTTACCCTTTCCCATTCCGATGACGTACACGTGTACGTCACATGTACGTCGTCAGTTTTTATTTCAGTTTTTCTTCCAATTCCGTTCCGATGACGTACGATCTTGGGCACTGTGTACACGTAGGTACGCACACGTGTACATTCCGATGACGTACATGTACATCGTCTGAACGGAATTGGAAGAAAAACTAAAAATAACTTCATCGGTACGTCTTCAGGTCGAAGACGTACCGAGGCTCACACAAGGCCATGCGGGAGGGCGTGTGGCACAGTTTGGCGCCACCTTTCATAGAGTGCGGTCGTGTCACTACGGTTCTCTGCGGTGAGTAACAATGTATTTAAAAACAACGACGCATTCCGAGATTCAGCGATGAACGGGACCCACCCTGCACCTTGCAGATTTATTTTTGGCAACTCCGTCCCACCGCGCACATAAACGCCGTGACCCACCTGGCGTGGATCATTCTGTTGTCATGTCGTCCAAGCGCAGCAGCGAATGCGCAGAAGAAACAAAACTTTGAAACTTTGATTAGCGCATCGTGTAGACCTCGTCGAGAGTAATAGATTGCCGTGTCGTTCGCCTTCAACAGACATAAAATGATGTCGCAACGCAGTTTATGCGAGAGCCGGGGGCTTATGGGACCCCGGGGTCCCTCCTTAAGGTTCAATTGGTAAGTTTTATTAACTTCTGCACGAGTGCGTTGTTTGCGGATTAAACGCACATATATACGGTGGGGGAAGGCCTTCATCCAGTAGCGGGCTGGCAAAGGGCTGCTCGTCATTGCTCAATATTAAGAGTCCAATATCCGTAAACAAAAAAAGAAAATAGGTCAACAATCCGCTTTGCTCTACTGCCACGCACTCTGCAGCTCGTATTCCTGCAGGTCAAGAGGAGTTTGTGCGTACCTTGAATTACTTTCGCACCGTACGTAGAGAGACCTTTAACTTATTCGAAGGGACACGGCGTGACCGGACAGAAACGCGCATTGGCGATGCTATCAGCGTGATTTTACATTTTCCTAGATGCCGATTTGCGCCACATCTCTGCTCGCTCACCCTCCGGGCGGCTCTCGAAGAGGCGCCTCTGGCCGTGTCCCTGCTGGAGCAGCTCCTTGAGGAGACGGAGACACGCGTCGGGACTCGCGAGCAGCAGGCGGAAGCCCTGTGGGTCGCACGGCGGCACCACAAGCACATCGCACACAACGACGACAACAACAACACAAACACGTAGAACACAACGACAATGAAAACATCACTCAAAGCACAACACAATGCACGGTAACACAAACACGTCGCACACAACGACGACAACAACAACATAAACACGTAGAACACAACGACAATAACAAAAACACATCACACACAACGACAACACAAACACATCACACACAATGATAACACAAACACATCACACACAATGATAACACAAACACATCACACACAATGACAACAACACAAACACATCGCACACAATGATAACGACAACACATCACACACAACGACAACAACACAAACACACCGCACACAACGACAACAACACAAACACATCACACACAACAACGACAACAACACAAACACATCACACACAACAACGACAACAACAACACAAACACGTCGCACACAACGACAACAACAACACATCGCACACAACAACAACAACAGCACACAGAGACAAAGATCGTTAGCAACTCCGCCGTTGGGCAGGGACCTCTCCCGGAACGTCTTCCACTCTTCACGATCTCTTTGCCACCTCCATGCAAATCTCATCTCATCCTGGGATTAAGGCGCGAGATAAATCTATAACAAGATCAAATCCTGCCGACTCATTTTGCTGGACCCTCCTGGACACGTTGTGAGGCTCAGGTTTTTCTGAATGCACGTTTTTTATTCTCTAACTTAATAACTAACAGCGCCCTGTCAACAAGCTGCAGGATGGAGGCCTCCTCACGGCGTGTCGCTCATACAGCAGAACCCCTCTTCACGACCACCCCTGTTAGCGACCAATTGCTTAGCCACTGGCCTCCATAGAGCCCAATGTGTAGTGTATAGTGTAGTGTATAGTAGTTTAGTGTTTTGTATAGTAGTATAGTGTATAGTGTAGTGTATTGTAGTGTAGAGTAGAACCCCTCTTCACGACCACCCCTGTTAGCGACCAATCGCTTATCGACCGGCTTCCATAGAGCCCAATGTGTAGTGTAGAGTGTAGTGTATACTAGTGTAGTGTATAGTAGTGTAGTGTATACTAGTGTATAGTAGTGTAGTGTATAGTAGTGTAGTGCCTGCATAGAGCCCAATGTGTTTGCTTACTAACCTTTCCCCTGTTAACGACGGGCTCTTGTAGGTACAGTAAATATTAAGTAATGCATTTATTTACGACGTTTCTTTTAATATTACGTGGTTTATAATGTTTGTTAGTATCTTCATGTATTCATATCCATTGTTTTAATAACAGTAAAGTACTTTTTTGGGTGAAAATGTGTAACTTTTGATGCTAGCGGAACGAAATAAGCCTTTAACATGTATTCCTTTGCTCTCTAACAACCAAATCACTTAATGACCGGGTTCATGGTGCCAATCACCGTCGTTAAGAGGAGGAGGTTCTACTGCAGTCCATGGTGCCGGTCAGTGTGACTTGTGAAGGCGGTGCCCAGGATCAGGTCGGACATCACTCGCCACTCATGTTTGCCGTGGTCACAAATAAAGCTCCTGCCCACCCGTTTCACAGTCCAGTGCGTTATTTTGTAACTAATTTTAACCATTTATTTTTTATTTTACCAGGTAAGGAGGCCCACTGAGCTGTCTAACATTTTTTCAAAAGCGACCTTGCCACCACAAATGATAGCTGATCGAAGTGGCTCATCACGTGGACATTTATGGCAGCCAAATACACGAAGCGCGTGTTTATAAAGTTCGTTAGCGAGTGCGTTGCCGCTCCACCCCAATCTGCTAATATCTAGTTTGCAATGTAGGATGATTAATGAAGAAAACAGAAAATAATGGTATGATTTTCCGGATTTTGCCGAGTCTGGCTTTCCATTGCTGCAAGTTGTTTGCGCGCAAGTGTACACAACACGTACATTGGCTCCTTGAGCCACTGGCCCAGAAATGTTTTCTCCATACCACCGATCGTGGCAAATGCTTACAATGACTTTCGCGAATATATTTTATTTCGAGATCACGAATATGCATGGCAGCAGAGCCTCCGTGATGGCTTTTGATGAGAGCGTTTGGTTTAAGAAGGATAAGGTTATGCTGCACAGAGAGAATATCTTTTTGGGAAGAAACAAAACATAATTATTCGATAAGAAATTCAACGGCAAGTGTGTCTATGAAACGGATGGTAATACACGCGAAGCTTTCCGTCTGCGGTGGAGACTGCCCACGGTGAACGCCGGGCAGCGTTTGGCAACCCCCGAGCGGTGCCAACCGAGGTGCGAGCATCCTCGGCTCGTGTCGCCGCGCCCACCTTGCGGTCGGGCGCCGGCACGAAGCTCATGAACTCGTCCACGTGGCCCACGGAGAGCCAGTCGCTGTAGAGCTCCACGGGCGCCTGCACCTGCTGCGCGAACAGGAACTCGCGCACGGTACGAGCCATGTTGCGCCCCATCTCTGCGCTGTGGGAGGTGGGGGGGTGGGATTCACACCGGCCGACGCACGGGTTGAGGCGTTCCGTGAATTGTTCCATCGCAGGACTGCGAGAGATGGTGGGGGGCACTCGGCGATGCCTTCATCCAGCAGTGGAATGGAGCGTGGCTGGTGAGCAATGTGCCGTTGCTCACGTGGGGAAGGCGCTGCCGATGATGATGCGACCGAGTGGGTATTTCTTGCCCCTGACGACGACGGGGGGAGACACCTCGAGGTTTCCGAACGAGTCGAGGCTGTTCACAGCGTCCTTGTAGGCGCATCGTGTCACGTAGCCAAAGTCGGGCCCCTGCAACGGCACGTGGTTAGGTTACCCCGACAGGCAGCGTGAGGAAATAATTTGTTCTAACTCGATGTTTATAACCCCATAGGAAACAATATTTTGAAATAATATTTTTTTATGGTGGTTCACCCTCTGAATAAATATATACAATAGACTTTCGATTGTCCACGTGCAGTTTATCCGATATGCGGATTAACCGCGCACCTGGGATTTTGACATAAATAAATAAAAACTCACGGATTTTACCTGAAGGACAAATTAATAATCTAAAAATAGTTTTCCATTGTTTATATTGGAAATGTTTATTACAAGTCATATGCTTTAACCGAACAAATACATTGCTCCAGTTAATCAGAAATCCACATCGCCTCTACAGTACAGTAGTTGCAATATCTTTACAACAGTGGGTGGCGGAGTTTGGTTGATGTTGATTGACGTGGCTCTGCTGCTATCCACTGAGTGGGCTGAGTCTTCTGTGCAGGAGCAGAAAAGTGTTATTATCACTCAGCACATTGGTCGATCGTACATTTTCGTTCATCTATTTTCTTAACTCATAGAGATCCAGGGGAAATTGATATTTTTTGATTATCCGTAATTTTGAATTATTCGCGGCCATCCTCTCCATCATTAGAGAGGTTAATCGAGAGTCTACTGTGTATGTATATTAATATTTTCTCTCCCTTATGTGTTGTAACAAAGTCATATTTTTTTCATAATAGAGGTGTTTTTGGTTAGATCGTTTAAATATATAAATGTGTCGTTAAACCTGCCACCACCCGCCACAGCCAACTAGTAAGGGTTGTCACGTAAACACAACGTGGCCAATTCGTCACGAGTACAGCACAACGGTGTGTTGGAGAGCCAAGCCACAACATTTACAATCCGAGTACAACTTTTTGCCAGTAATTACAACTGACTTCATCAGGTGACAGCCACATTTATGGAGAAGTCCACCTGTTTCGTTTCTTATATAAAGGCGTAGATGTGGTGACCACACTTCTGCGCTCTTGTGCAAAGTAGGGGGAGGATTCATGAATCAATATACATTATGCATGCGCATTATGCGAGCCCATTGATCTTATCCTTCCTGTCCATTGTGTGTACTAAAATAGCCGTACCAAAATTTAAACAATGTATTATTTGATGTTTCGCTTCCGATTCGCTAATCTTTCTTTGCTTGCATTGCATTTCACCTAAAGCCCTTAGTTTAAAGACCACTTTCCAAATATATTCGTGAAACGGTTGCCAATTTGCAGGATAGTTTAACGTTTTTGTCACCCGTTTGGTAAAAACGTAGTCCAAAACCAATGTAGCTTGACCAAGGCGAATTTTTATTTCATTATATTTATTTTTACATTTCTCTGTGCAGCAATTGGTTGTTATTGTGTTTATAGACCTGTGCGCATTTGTATTACACGCTAAACGCTGAGATGTAATGGCATGTGACGTGCGGTAACGATATTAAATGATGATGACAATGATGATAATGATGATGACGATGACGATCATGGCTTCAATTCATCCCTGGTCTGTCTTGGTCAGATACCAAAGAAATTGTCTTCACCCAGTACACCACATCAAGTGTTCCTCTTGCTCTACGGCTGTGGCTACTAGTCGTGCACGACTTCCCCGGTCTACAAGCGACCCCCGAAAATAATCGGTCAGAAATTCAGCCCAGATGATGACGACGAGGATGACGACGATGATGTAAGTTGATCGACGGGCTGCCCTGGTTTTTCTGCGGTGTTGGCGGCTGGCTTAAGGGGGGGCGGCGGCGCGCGGCGAGCAGTCACCATGATGCGCAGGGGGATGTCCTTGAGTTCGCGATTCCGGGGAGAATCGAACACCACGGGGAGCACGCGGTTGGGAGACTCGCAGTAGCCGAACTCCATCTGGTCCTGCTCACGTGACACAGATCCCCCATTGTTCATGCACCGCACCTCCCATTAGCGCGGTTGGCTCCGTGTTACATTGAGGGTAATATACGTAGTAAAAAGACAGAAAAAATATATGGCAGAACATATACGAGATAGACAATACGGTGAAGTCAATCTGAAAATGACATACAAATTACCGCATTCTCCATTTAAAAGGACGCTCCAAACTTGGGGGGGGGGGGGTAATTTAAAAAAAAAGTATGTTATTAATAATCAGTATCGTACTATGGAGAACAGTCTTCCAGAATGTGGTGATGAATGTGCTGCTTTATTAAATAGGAAGAGGTGTCTTCTGGTAAATGATTATACTGGTAGGAACCTCCTGGTTACACCAGCCCACAGAGGATTATTGTGTTCGTCCGTCCGTCGTGCATCCAAAAATGGGAGGGGTGGGGCTGGGTGGGGAGGGGAGGGTGGGGCTGGGTGGGGAGGGTGGGGCTGGGTGGAGAAGGGCTGGTTACCCCGTGGTGCCCTTAAACGTTTAACCTACTCACACCGGCTTGTGCCCCCCCTACAGTCGGCCATATTTGCGGAATACACCACACCGCCGTTGACCCTGTCCATTGACCGAGCAACCCAACATTCCTACCAGCTCCCTCCGCAGGAATGTGTTCAATGGCCGTTAGCGCCTTCTGTCCTCTGGGTGATTGTGAATTGCGATCAAGAACCATCTTTCGGAAAAGAGGATTCTGAACTAGATTAAAACACCTCTTCTGGAAGACGATCTATGTGCATCCTCCAGATTATGTGCCCAGAACTTTTGATTTAAAATAAAGGGGGAAAAAAAGTGTGAGAATATGGTTGTTATTTATTTTTAATATATATCACACACACACACCTGAATTTTGAGAATGTATTAGATATCTGGAGGTGCAAGTTGTTACCTGTCGACAGTATTCTCTCATTATTCCCGACAAGGGATACGTTCCAGAGACGCTCGTGATTAGCAAGTTTCCTAGACAATGATATTGGCTCTCCGAATATCGTGCACGCAATGTATGCAGATGCTTGTAAAGGTTCAAGAAGCTCTCACTATCTCTTGATCTCATCACTTTATCTCATCACTTTATCATCTTCTTGGTTCTTTCGGTAAAGTCACGTAGAAGGGAAATAATAAAATAATAATAATAATAAAACATAATAAAATACAATTCTCACTGACGTTTCGGCCACAACGACAAGCAGCCGTCCTCAGGTGAAGAACAGGTCTGTCGGAAAGACAGCGTCATGAGAATTGTATTTATTGTGTTTATTTTTATTATTTTATTATTTCCCTTCTACGTGACTTTACCGAAAGAACCAAGAAGATGAATCCCTGCAGTCACGAAAGCTTTAAATCGGAACTTTATCATCTATTTATCTTATCACTTTCTCTCTCATCACTTTATCTCTCATCACTTCATCTCATCGCTTTATGTCATCTATTTATCTCATCACTTTGTCTCTCATCACTTGATCTCATCACTTTATCTCATCACTTTATCATCTATTTATCTTATCACTTTCTCTCTCATCACTTTATCTCATCACTTTCTCTCTCATCACTTTATGTCATCATTTTCTTTCAGTCTCTCTCGATGCAGCCGTGCAGAGTTCCAGATGCGATTCGCCGACAGCCAAAATCTTGGAGCACAAGTTCGTGAATTAACGAGGAAGACACATTACTTCTTATCCACTTGGCAGGAGCATTGCACTTTGCGGAGCGATCGAAGCGGTGACTAATCAAAAAGGCGAGCGCCGAAAGATGCGAACGGACGCTACCTGCATCCAGATGTCGTTCTCATACGTGTCCAGGATGATGGCCTTACACTTGCCCTTTTCCGCGACCTTTCGCATCTCCTTCACGAACGCGGTGTTGTTGCCGACCCTGCACGAGAGAAGCGCTGGTGAGGAGCGGCGGTCGGCACGGACAGCAACGGTGAGCCGTGACGGCCCGATCCTGTTCCTGTGCGTACGGTACGTTGAACTTCTTTCGCACTGCACGCAGCCAACTGCGCTAATCGTAGGTGCTGATGCGAAGTCGACACTGAACTGCCAGGTCTGCAATTGGCGTAACGCTTCTCTGCAGTCTACTTCTGGGTGCCCTCCCCATCACATGTTTTATTTTAAATGCCTGGTCTTTTCCCCCAATGTTATCCCCATTGTGGTACCAGTGTTACGTAGTGAGACGAAAGTATCCATTCAGAATGCACGCAGCGAGTGCAATCCTTCGCAAACGAGAATGGACCAAGGAAGTGGATATCACAGAGCTACCTCTGAGAGGGGTGTAGCAGAGGGCAGCATTTGCCCACCCAAACCCTGCGATGTGAGAATAGTGTTCATCACATGACAGTCGAACTGATATTTCTGAAAGCGAGATGCACAAGAGATAGAGATGAGAGAGAGAGCTGTAGATAGGAAGTACATATGAGTGGTCAGTAATAACATCTGTACATATGATATATTAATGTCACGTGGTCCAGCCGGTACACAGAAACTTGATTTTTAACTGTTCCCAGTTTTAACTTTTAAATTTTACCAAGGTAAGCGATATAGTTGTTTTTCAGAAGCGACCTGGCCACAAATGTATTTACCACCTTATAATGTATTTAACAATGCTGAGGGGTTGTTTCTCTTCCTGTTCTCATGCCCAGTTGTCCTGCGCGCGATTGACCCGCGGCATGCACTGTGGGCGCAGTCTCCAGCTGCATGGGCGCCACGGTGGTGGGATGTTAACTACCTCGCCTTGTATACAGGAGGTCGTGGGTTCGATCCCGACCCTGACGCCTGCTGTATATTTGGAGTTTGTGTGTTCTATCTCCCCGTGGTCACGTGGATATTTCCCCAGGTCCTCTGGTTTTTCCCTCCGCGTTTAGAATCGACATCACGTGTTTATAAAAGTATTTGGCTGCTACAAATGTCCACATGATGATCAGCGACTTCGCTGAGCTGTTATTTGCGGTGACCAGGTCGCTTCTGAAAAAGAAGCTATGTAGCTCAGTGGTGGGGCCTTACCTGGTTAAAATAAAAAATAAAAAAATAGCTTAAGCCTGATGAGGCTGGTTGTAATTACCAGCGAAACGTCATACTCGAATTGTAAATGTTGTGGGTTTACTCTCCAACTTACCGCAGAACGAGTAGCGAATCGCAATATTTTATTTGTGTCGAGTGGTGGCAGGTTTAACGACACATTTATATTTCCGCGATCTACCCCAAAAAAAACTCTTATTACGGATAATATTGGTCGCAAAATCCCTACTACTACTACGTGTTAAACCAGTGTATAGCTTAGCCCCCCCTGGACGGCGCGTTACGCACTTGCACATGATGACCTGCAGCGCCGGCTGTGTGTTAGGGGTCATGATCCACGGCGCGACGCGGAACACCGCGCTGTCGGTGAAGATTGGCAGTGCTGACCGTGTCCTGAGCGGGAGGAGAGACAAGGCAACAGTCGTCGGGGGGGGCCCTCGCTCACATCGCCCAGGGGGTGGTTGAAGGACCTTCCTCTTTATGAGGGCCGGATTTTTGAAATACCTTTGATGGGCCAAATGTTATTATGTACACCGACCACACCGATATAAATAGTACGCTGCCGATAGATGAACGCTCTTACCGCATGCTGAGTTTCAAGCAAAGGATTTTACGTAATATTTAAACAATTTTTTTTCAAGAGTGATGATTACTTTTGAAAATTGGTACGCAAGAAAGGGTTTAGAAATGAACAGCCTACCACTTAAGATTGGTAGGACTGACAAGGAGGAGATCTTTGCTGACATTAAACTCTGATCAGACTCGGACTACGTATTGGCTGCATACCTAGTACTACGCAAAAGACAACAGGTGACTAACATTCCAAGCACTCTGTTGTTGCCAGGTTGAAAATATTCCCTCCTCAGTGCCCGATTTGTGCAGCTAAGAGGCTTGCAGTGATGAATGAGCATTATTTGTGGCCTGTTTTGAAGTGTTAGACTTCATGTGGCTGCGGGCCATATGACATGAACTTGAGGGCCATATGTAGCCCATATGAGCCAACTGAGCTAATTGGAGGTGCGTAAGGACAACAAATTAAGCACAAAGAACAGTTCTAAACAAATTCGTTTTCAATCTAGATTTAAAAGTGCCTCGCTCCAGTGGCTTCCTATTATCGGAAGAGCATTCCAGACGGCCGCAGAAGCGCAATGTGAAAGCGCGCGATGCTGCGGATGACCCGTCTTTGTTTGATGACCAGCTGCGAGGAATGACGTGCTGATGGTTTATGGTCCTTGACGAGAAAGATGGATGCACGGGGATAGACGCTGTCCGACTGCTGCTGCTGCTGCTGCTGGTCCTGCTTCCCACTCACCGGCAGGATGACCTGCAGGAGGCTGAGGTGGAAGTGAACGAATCCGTTGAAGTCGGCGTCCGGGAAGCTGAGCCCCTCCACGTAGAGGTTCACCTCTCCGCCACGACCCGGGTACTCGAACGAGTAGCTCGGCCTGCCCGGCCCCAGCGACTGATTCACCTCTCCGGCCCTGCTTGGGTCTAAAGCCAGCGAGGAGGCAGGGCCACAGGGCGGTGAGCACCGGTCCAGATATCACTTGCCACTGATGCGAACCACGTCCTCGAACGAAGGTTGTTGACGGACTCATAAGTGTGGTGTGCTTACAACTGCGCCACTGTTCACCGACAGATAAAGCATCGCGTGCACGAGACTGTTAACTTGCAGGGCTGTGACATGAAGGGTGAATATGAGGCCTGTAGGGATTCACATGGCCTTTTGCATTTTATTAAGATGTTGATCCTTATTGCATTGGAGTTGCACATATAACCTCTGGTGGCTGCGGTGTGTACGTAATGCGTGACAGTTTTGTTCATTGCATTATATTATTTGTTGTAACATCAGTGTACTAATTTGCATATACACATGTGCATGTACAGCCCTTATATAAATGCGAGATCATCAGCTCACTACACATAAGTACCCAGTTTAATCGTAGGTGGCTAAAACCCAAATTCGAACCCAGATTCTCAGCGGTGTCAGCTAGGTGCTTGGGATTTTATTTGAGATCTTGCCATCTGCATTGGAGAGGCGTGACACACTTGATGCATTAAATCAGCCAGTGGACTTACATGACCAGAAGCTTTTGCAAACGCTTGATTCGTAATACGTGCAAAAGGTGAGGATAGCTGAATAGCGGGCATGGCTATCCAAGTAGTGGGTGGGGCCACCTGAGTAGTGGGTGGGGCCACCTGAGTAGTGGGTGGGGCCACCTGAGTAGTGGGCGGGGGCTACCTGAGTAGTGGGTGGGGCTACCTGAGTAGTGGGTGGGGTCACCTGAGTAGTGGGTGGGGCCACCTGAGTAGTGGGTGGGGCCACCTGAGTAGTGGGCGGGGCTACGTGAGTAGTGGGTGGGGCCACCTGAGTAGTGGGTGGAGCTACCTGAGTAGTGGGTGGGGCCACCTGAGTAGTGGCTGGACCCACCTGAGTAGTGGGTGGGGCCACCTGAGTAGTGGGTGGGGCCACCTGAGTAGTGGGCGGGGCTACCTGAGTAGTGGGTGGGGCTACCTGAGTAGTGGGTGGGGCTACCTGAGTAGTGGGTGGGGCCACCTAAGTAGTGGGTGGAGCTACCTGAGTAGTGGGTGGGGCTACCTAAGTAGTGGGTGGGGCCACCTGAGTAGTGGGTGGGGTCACCTGAGTAGTGGGTGGGGCCACCTGAGTAGTGGGTGGGGCCACCTGAGTAGTGGGCGGGGCTACCTGAGTAGTGGGTGGGGCTACCTGAGTAGTGGGTGGGGCTACCTGAGTAGTGGGTGGGGCCACCTGAGTAGTGGGTGGGGCCACCTGAGTAGTGGGTGGGGCCACCTGAGTAGTGGGTGGGGCCACCTGAGTAGTGGGTGGGGCTACCTGAGTAGTGGGTGGGGCTACCTGAGTAGTGGGCGGGGCTACCTGAGTAGTGGGCGGGGCTACCTGAGTAGTGGGCGGGGCTACCTGAGTAGTGGGTGGGGCTACCTGAGTAGTGGGTGGGGCTACCTGAGTAGTGGGCGGGGCTACCTGAGTAGTGGGTGGGGCCACCTGAGTAGTGGGCGGGGCTACCTGAGTAGTGGGCGGGGCTACCTGAGTAGTGGGTGGGGCTACCTGAGTAGTGGGTGGGGCCACCTGAGTAGTGGGCGGGGCTACCTGAGTAGTGGGTGGAGCTACCTGAGTAGTGGGTGGGGCCACCTGAGTAGTGGGTGGAGCTACCTGAGTAGTGGGTGGGGCTACCTGAGTAGTGGGCGGGGCCACATGAGTAGTGGGTGGGGCCACCTGAGTAGTGGGTGGGGCCACCTGAGTAGTGGGTGGGGCTACCTGAGTAGTGGGTGGGGCTACCAGAGGAGTGGGTAGGACTACCATAGGAGTGGGCTTTTAGGCGAAGCCAACCCCAGAAAGTGCCACTCACTGTGTGGGCAGGGCTAGTCAGTCGAGTGAGCGTGGCTATGGAATAGTAGGCAGAGCTAAGAAGGTGGCCAGCACACAACCGACATGTGCTCTGGATTGAACCTCCCAAACATTTGGTAGCTTTAACCCGCCCACGAGAACGGATTTCCAATCTATTTCAACCGTTGGCTCTACTGCTCACCTGCGTGTGGTAGAACGGATTTCCAATCTATTCCAACCATAGGCTCTACTGCTCACCTGCGTGTGGTAGAACGGATTTCCAATCTATCCCAACCGCTGGTTCCGCCACTCACCTGGCATGTGGAAGACGCCCACGTGCTTCCAGTCGGGGCTGTAGAGCTGCAGGCAAAACCCGTGGGGCAGTACGGCGGGACCGCGCGTGCGAACCACCATGGGAGCCATGTCCTTCAGGTCTGCGGGGCGGAGACGTGAAAACCCGCACGGTGAGGCACCCAAACCCCCAGCAGATGTTCGACAACGTGGTTCTTATATAACGGTAGTCATTCGTAACAGGGGAGAACTCTTCAAGAGTTGGTGGTCATCAAGACGGGGAAGTGCCAAGTGCAGCCCCCACGCAATAGAAAGCGACATTCGCTGTTAAGCATCCACGTACGGGTGTGTAACGCTTGCAAGCGTGTACGGGGTTGTCCAGATGTAGTGTGACCCCCATCCCCCCCGACCCCATTTAAGTCTCTAAAACGTAATGTTTATGAAATAAACTTCATTTAAAACAGAAATGAATATGCTAAGGAAAAACAAAATTGGAGGTCAATTAATTGGGGGTGACAAGGACATCGGGACCACCCTGTACGGTATAATTAAATGAAGACCCTTAAATCCTCTGACAGAGTAACAATACTAACGAAGAAGTAAATGTACTGACCAGGGATTTATAAGAGTTAAACAAATGCCGGTATCCATCCGAGGTATTTTGTTAGGTGCAACAAAAGAGCACGAAGCGATGAACATTCGTTGTGAACGCGCGTCATACGGCGCGGTTAAGAATTCTGAGCTTTCAAATCGACGTCGATCGAGATGGCAAGTCGATCGATGCGGCTTACCCGACTCGCCCTGCAGGATGTGGTCGTAGTTGTCCACCGCCCCCCCCTCGCTCTCCTGGTCGCAGTTCACGAGCAGCACGGCACCGTGTCCCTGGGGCCCCCACTCCCAGCTCCCCTACTCCGCACACACAAATATCAAAGATTCCCCCGTGTAGCCTGTAACAGACTGTTGGCGCAAGTTCTGTTCGCGAGCAGCACCTATGAAGGCCGGCACTGTGGCACACGAGGGGGTTGGGTGGCCAACACCACATCCGGCCGCCTTTGTCTCCCTAGTGGCGATGTTTACACATCGCACCTAGGTACTCATTTTAGGGTGAGTAGACCTAGGGGAGGTCAGATAATCGTCACTGGTGTTGGCCGTGAGCGGCAATCGAACTCGGGTCACCTGGTTCGTAGCGCAGCGTAGCGCTAACCGCTACACTACCACTCCCCACACACACACACATACACGCATTATCACGTGTGTATGTATGTACGTACGTTCAACTTCTTTTGCACCGTACATATCCAACCGTGCTAATCGGAGGTGCCGGGAGTGGGGGAAAGGACAACAAACTAAACACAAAAAGCAGTTCTGAAGAAATTAGTTTTCAATTTAGTATAGTGGTGTCGCGTATGTCGTGTATTGTAGTAGAGTTTTATTGCCAGAAAGGGGAAACTCTATTCTCATTTTTTAATTCCTTTATGTAAGTTCACTTGCTTGCTTGCTTGCGCGCTTACGACCGTGCACATATTTCGGTCGTTTTTTAACCCACTTCCCGTGATCCAATCGAGCTGACATTTTGCACACAGACTCGTTGTGCGTGACAATTTATTTTCGTGAAAATGTTTTTCAAAATGTTCCACTTTTTAGGAAATGTTTTTTTCATATTTTATTTAAAATACCAATGTGATAAAAATGAAACTCTTACACAAGAAAAACAGAAATGAATAATAAAATAAAACCGATGCCTACGCATATAAAGGATTTATAGTGGAAAACTTAGTTTTTACGGGTTAATTTTTTCATGCTATGTTTCAGACAAACACTACTTTCATTTGCCTCTGTTTAAATTCGTGTATATTAAAGAACTGTCTAACAATATCCTTGCATGTTGGCTTTACACGTATTAACTGTGCTTTGTGCTACTTCGCCATTCGGGTAGCAAACGGTTGATCGATTACAATAAACGGTTGTGATCACTTTAACACGTAGGCTTTGTGATCACGATGCCATTTATTGATGACTATATCCTAGTGGCGGCTCCTGCAAATCTCTCAGGGGGGGGGCAAATGTCTGGATGATTGATAAGGATAAGGTCCACCCATGCAATGGATAAATTAACAGCTTAAGCATGTAAAGGCAACTTCACTACTTTAATATTAATGAAAAATAAAGTGACTCTTACAATACATCTTGTTTGTTTCTATACTCACTATTATTACAATCCACTCAGTATATTTTATTAAAGATTCCACTAGGTAGCGACAAATAATATTGTTGACTAGAACGTGCTTACGTATGATGACGTAAGCAGGTTAGTGCGAGCCCTCCCGGAAGCCATAGAGAATGCATTGCAGCGCCCGCCGTTCGAAAAAAAACATCTTTGAATGTAAGTCTATGGGAACACTCTGGGCGATTCTCAGCCAGAGTGAAATCGCCCAAAAAGGCGGTACTCTACAGAACGTGACATGACGCTGATTGGACTATATCCAGAGGCACAGTGACGGCTGAGATTGGTGGTGCGTCGCCCAATCGCCCTAATGAAGAAACCGCCCCTGACTATATCTCAGACTGAATTATAATGTGCATGTACTGTACGCAGCCCTTTGTCAATCCACTGCTGGATGAGAGCTCCCCCACATTGTGTGGGTCATGCGAATTGTTTTACCATACTTCACCACCCCGGTTCGTAAAGGCAGCGGACATAGACATTGGAGCATAGTACAGTACAACAATGGAATGTTGCTACACCGCCCTCTGCTGACAATGTAGCGCCACAGCCATTATGCTTGATGTAAATTATGTACCGTACGAATGTTACTTCTAGGCTAATTGAGCAAACGAAAATATACAAAGAAGAAATAACAATTTATACGCGTACAATACAAACGAGTGGGGTAAAAAGTAAGGCATTCAAAAATGTATTCTTGAATAGAATTGCGACGCTAAATCGTGACTATTCTTCTGCCACAACTTGACGGACGACGTTTCATCAAGTCATGGACTAGTCGTTAATCACTTCACGCCAATTATCTGTGATCCGAAATTATATTGTATTCATAATAAAGATTTTATGGGGTTAGATCGCGTAAATATATTGTGTCGTTAAACCCGCCACCACCTGACACAGCGAATTAGTAAGGCGTGTCCACGTGTTAAGCAAAGTTATACAAGCTCGCTGTCACTTTGAACCGTTATTTTATGTTAAACCGCTTCTTGCATAATTTCAATTGTTACGTTACCCGGCTGCTCAGGACGCTGTTGAAGTTTAACTAAACAACAACAACAAATAACATCAAGAAAACTTTCGCCCACATTAACCCCGATAAGCATTTGTGCTCATTCATTAAATTGCCAACTCCTAGACAAGCGATAAGTGCAGTCACCCCCCTGCCCCCTCTAGGCAACTTAGTGAGACTTGGCATTGAAGTGCGCGTGGCATATGGCTGATGCCCTGTCTCCTGTCAGCGTGCCAACAAAGCCCCGACCAGCGCTCTGCGTGTTACATAATCGGTGGCTGGCAGACTTTCGAGGCGAGCAGGTGCAGGTTCGCGTCTGCATTCTGAACGAGCGGTGGAGGAAAATCAACAAAAAATAACCCACAGCCGTCACGCATGCAATGCAATTATAACGCACCTTGTTTACTCTCTCTCTCTCTTCGTTAAACGGCGAAATAAATACATCAGATGAATTTTTTTTAGAGCACGTTTACGGCTTGGAAAACAAATGAGGCTGATACCAACGCACAAATGAAGGCGAGTTCCTAGACATCAAAATGCGCGATGGCCACCGTCAGTCCCTCTCAGTCATGCCTCGCATGTCACGCGACGTAGCCGTCACCAGACGTGGCCACAATGTTGTCTCCTTTTGGATTGGGGGGGGGTCTAAAACCAGGCCGTGTGCGGTTATAAACATACGAACACGTATGTTGAACTTGATTTGAAGCTTTCGTGACTGCAGGAATCCATACTCTTTGGTTATTTCGGTAAAGTCACGTAGGTAGAAATACAATCAAATAAATCACGACGTTTCGATCGCAACACAAGCAATCTTCATCAGGTGACTAACAGCTTCAAATCAAGATTGAATCCATCTCTACGGGGAGGTTTCCACCCATCTCTTAGCCACCTGATGACGACCGCTTGTGTTGCGATCGAAGCGTCGTGATTTGTTTTATTTTATTTCTACCTACGCGACTTTACCGAAAGAACCAAAGAGTATGTTGAACTTCTGTGACACCGTACGTAGCCGACCGTGCTAATCGGAGAATGGAGACGACGCGCGTGCAGGTGGTGCAGCCTATGAAGGTGGGATGTGGGTGTGGGGGGGGGGCAAGTGATGGCGGTTGGCTGGGGGGCCCTGACACGGCCGGCTATCAACGTAGGCACCTTTGGCATTTACGGAGGGTGGCGGCACATTGTTGGGAATCGAGAGGAGTTGGTGGTGGGCAGCGTCACACAGCTCCATCGGTCGGTGGCTAAAGTGTGATGTGAAGTGTTGACGCGACAACAGGTCGCCTCGGCCCGCATCGTTGGAGATGCGCTCGCTCGTGCCAGACACGACATGGCCACGCGGAGACGTGAGGCCAGTGCCGGTTTATCCCAGTAACAAACGTAGCTAACATATAATTCTAGATTTGAAGCTTTCGTGACTGCAAGGATTCATACTCTTAGTTTTTTCGGTAAAGTCACGTAGGTAAAAAATTAAATTAAAATTAATAAAAATAAAATTTAAATAATAAATTTTATTAATTTTAATTTCATTTTTTACCGAAAAAACTAAGAGTAGCTACATATGCTACGGGCCCCGCACGTTCAAGGGCCCCGCTCTAAATATTTTCAAGCAATCAATTCCGGTTCAGTGATTCTGCACTGAAGCGGAATTTGGGTGGTGGTGGTGATGGCAGTGGCAGAACACGGCAGAGGGGGGGGGTCGTTCCATTGCTTGCGCCAGGGCCCACGCCGACCGAACCCACGCTGCTGTGACCGGAGGCCTACCTTTTTGGGGTTGTTGTGTTCCACAATGCCATCCCGGTCGGCGTCCACATCCAGAGAGAGGCCTGCAACAGCGGAGGCGCAATCCCACCGTGGTCAGAAAGAAGCCGTATTGGAAACACGGAAAGTGCAAACTCCGCGTGGCGCGAATTGCCAGCATCGCGATGGCGTTGGACTAATTTTGTTGGATTTTATCAACGCTCCCGACAAACACCTGATCAGCGAGACGACAACCGCCAATATCGCACTGCCTGGTTTCCACAACACAGCTCATCGGTGACCCCCACCACTGCCCCGCTTCCATCCACCACAAAGATCAATGTCGTCGTGTGAGTGGGTGAATCGGTGGGTGGGTGTACTATCTGCAATTCACCAACTCTCAGACAAAGCACTTAAATGGCTACATCGCTTAGAAGTGCAACTCTAAAAAGTCGCTCCTCATTGACCGTGCAAAATAATCATTATCATCATCATCACTGCGGTCAGGCAGCATCAAGTCATCATGGATAGCACCCGTGAGTGTTCCATCGTTTCTTGCAAAATAGCCACTAGAAATAACCCAAACTTGTACCCCTACAGCCCCCTATTTGTCAATCCACTGCTGGATTCGAGTCTCCTCACACCGCGTGGTTGGTGCGAGTCAGTGAAGCAATGGAGACCCTGGCAGCCCGATCAGATATCGCTCGCGACTTAAGTTAGCCGCCACCAGAAATCAAACTCAGATCGCAGAGCGCTAAGCCACCTGCACTACCGCTCCAAACCTTTGGTAATGACAGCATGGTAAATGGAAATAACGTGGATCTGAAACATGACAATGTAATCAATACCACTGTAATGAAGCCACGAAGGAAGGGCAAATAGATATTTCCAAACGTGAATACGCAGATCGGAGTCGGCATTGAAACCGCAACTCTGAGCGCCCAGCATTTGCCGGGAGCATGGCAAGTCACTCCGTCATAATATAACATTTACAATTATAAGATAATTACATGTGCGCACATCTCGCAATATTTTAGGAAGTAAAAACGTGTTTAATGATGGACATACTCGTCCAGAGTTTGGGTGTTCATGAATAAAATGCTGTTGGTCACCAGAACTCGGGTAGAGCAATAGGCCGATAGACTAAATATATTTGATAGACTGTAGCGATACAGAATGGAAAGGGTACATATGGAAACCAGACATCATATTGCCCGTTAAAGTCACTCGTGGTCTCAAAAATTACACGTCGCGAGACAAGACGGCGGCCAGTGACTCAGTCTAACAACAGTGACAGCCAAAGAATCTTTTCACAAAAACCAGAACTATCTAAAGAATCTTTTCACAAAAACCAGAACTATCTCGGCGAAACCGAGCTTTTGGGATCTTTACATCAGGTGGCCAGGTAGCTCAGCGATTAGTCCACCCATCGCACCATTGCAGACCATTTTCACTTTAAACGTAAACCACGCAAATCCTCCTCCGGCTTGCTTAACTCAAACCCCTCCTAAAGCAGACGGCAATATCTGAGATAAAATCCCACGCACTGAGCAGATGCTTGGCGGCGTTATGCAACGACGTGGTTTGTCTGGCTTCGTTAGCATTCACGATTTCACGGGCGACTGCTTTTCCTGCCAGACGCAGTTTGTGCCCCCCCCCCCCCCTTTGCCTCCCGTCGCCTGCCGCAGGGGCCTCAGCCCAGTGCCCGTTCGTGCAAAAGGAAAAGTCAAATCCCAACTTGAAAAACATTCCTGTGCCACATTGCGACGCAGTGTGCGCGCCCCGCCAGTTCCAATCAACCTGCGGTGCAATGCCTGGCAGCGTTCGAAGCGAGCATCTCGGCGTGTGCGTGGCACAGGCCCTGTTTGTCAATCCACCGCTGGATAAGGGCACATCCGAACCCAAGTTGCCATCCCCGCACCTCCGAGTAGCACGGTTTGGCTGCGTACGGTGCGAAAGAAGATCAGTACGCGCCAGCAAACCTTCGGCGCAAGAGGCAGAGTCAGCGGCCCCACCCCCCTTCACCAACCCACACGTGGCCATCGTGGAGGAAGGATTGGCAAGTAAACCCCACGAACCCACGCAGCGTGGGGTAGGCACCTCATTCAGCAGTGGATTAAGAAAAAGGGCAATTTTTTGTCGCGAACGTTCGGAACAAGATTTGTGAAAACGAGGGGTGATGTTTATGGGAGTGCGAGGGATGGCAGTTGCTCACCGATGGCCGTCAAATAGAGCTGAGCCTTTGCAAGGGCCTGGTCCGCATTTTTCCATAAAATGTAATGGACAGCTGAAAAACAATGGAGAAAAAAAACGAGACAAGTTTCATCACTACGCAGTCAATAATATCAGCCAGCGATCTTATCCAGTCACGACTCGCGCGGGCATCCAACGCAGCGAACGGCCCTGGCTCCCGCAGACGAGCCGAATCGCAGCTCTCCATCTCCTCAGCGGACTCCCGATGAGATAGTTTTGTTTCTCCTTCGGTCGCCACTCTTCGTTGTTAGCCTCGACTACCGTCCACCATCACAAACATTCACATGCCATTCGCATACATTTTATATAAAAACATTTTATATCAGTGCGAACATTTGCGTAATGAGCGTAAGAGTACATTTTAAACAAAGCATCCTCGATCTCTCTCTCTAGCGTATATGGAAAGTCTGTGCACATCACCCATCCACGTTTAAGTCTGTGCGCCGTGCGATAACTTCGGGAGTTAAGCGACTAATACTGCTCAGTCAACATCTCTACTGGGAGAGATAGAGACACGCAATCTCCAAATATACAGCAGGCGTCAGGGTCGGGATTGAACCCACGACCTCCTGTAGACCAGGTGAGGGAGTTAACATCTCAACATCGAACCCACGACCTCCTGTAGACCAGGCGAGGGAGTTAACATCTCAACATCGAACCCACGACCTCCTGTAGACCAGGTGAGGGAGTTAACATCTCAACATCGAACCCACGACCTCCTGTAGACCGGGCGAGGGAGTTAACATCTCAACATCGAACCCACGACCTCCTGTAGACCAGGTGAGGGAGTTAACATCTCCTAGCCACCGTGTCGGAGCGCCACACAAACAAGGAGTGAGAGGGGGGCGGGGGGGGGGCATGACACAGTCAATGTTAATTAAACTGGAGACAAATGTTAAACGCCAAACAGAATGGGCAGCACGATGTTCCGCTCCGGTCCCTCGTGCATCCTTCGAAATTGAAATGAACAACTGCCACTGCTGTCAAATATTGCAGCAACATTTTTGGCTCGATTACAGCGTTCCCTCGTTATCCGCGGGTGACACGTTCCAGAGCTGCTCATGAATATTAAATTTCGCGGAGAATGATATTGGCCTACGAAAACGTATTTGCTTTAATGAATTAGCATAAATAAATACATTAGTTATTAAATACATGAACATTATCAATACACACTTTTTTTATGCAGTTGTAGTCAACATGAAGTAAATACAAATGGATATTAAAGTATGAAATAATACTTTATAAAAGAACTTATTCTTTATCTCATCACTTTATCTCGAAAGACCCAAATAATATTTATCTCATCACTTTATCTCCTATCACTTTATCTCCTATCACTTTATCTCCCATCACTTTATCTCCTATCACTTTATCTCCCATCACTTTATCTCCCATCACTTTATCTCCCATCACTTTATCTCTCATCACTTTATCTCTCATCACTTTATCTCCCATCACTTTATCTCTCTGATCACTTTATCTCCCATCACTTTATCTCCCATCACTTTATCTCCTCACTTATCTCTCACTTTATCTCCCATCACTTTATCTCCATCACTTATCTTCAGCACTTTATCTCCCATCACTTTATCTCCCATCACTTTATCTCTCGTCACTTTATCTCTCATCACTTTATCTCTCATCACTTTATATCTCATCACTTTATCTCTCGTCACTTTATCTCTCGTCACTTTATCTCTCGTCACTTTATCTCTCATCACTTTATCTCATCACTGTCTCACTCTCTCTCTCTCTCTCTTGGTAGTAGTCCTGTAGAGTTCCAGATGTGATTCGCAGACAGCCAAAATCGCGGATAGCAAGTCCGTGAATAACGAGGGAATACTCTTTATTAATTTAGAAGACGGTGGCTGAGTCGGGAGAACCCCCCCCCCCCCACTCTGGACTGAACTTTCTCCAAATTCAAAATTTTGTTTAAATTATACAGACGGCTGTTCCCACCACAGAGTCTGCTGCCAGAGGCAGGATCTAGAAGAAGAAGAATGCAATCAAACGCGGGCTTTCTGGGACGCTGCCCAGCATTCTGCCAGGGATGAGTTTAATGAAATTAAACTTGTTGGGTCGCATTTGTCACGCACCGACAACGTTCGCTCCAACTCGGCGTTTCGCTTAAATTTTAGTTCCCAACGATGATATATATCCCCATTGTGTCTTTAGATGTCTACAAGCGTAACGTCGAATTATTCTGCCCTGCAGCCCCCCCCGCCCCCTCCCCCGTTAACGCACAACAGCCATGCAGTCACGCGCTTGCTTGTATGTGGCGTGCAACACCGAGGGCTTTACGACGAATGCCAGTGCAACGTCTCCGATCTGATACACGAGACTTAACAAATTGCCACGGTCGTCACCATCAGCAGTAATAATAATAATAGTTTAATTTGTAACGCGCGCAAATTTGCAGACGTAGTGGCCGCAACTCAGAGGCGCGGAGCCAAGCTCAGAGTCAATCCACTCCTTGCGTGAAGGCATCGCCAAGCCGTCGGTCACAATCTCTGTGCGGTCCCTGCGTCGTAGCGATTCCATCGAACGCTCCCGCACACGAGGTGTTTTGCGTCGCTCACATCTCCGCCGTGGAATTCAGATTGCCCACGTTCTCTCCCTTGGCTGCCGGGGGATTCCCGCTATTGGGACCCCCCCCCCCCCCACCGCCTTCCGCTGCAATAAGTGGCACCACGTGGAAGGGTAGAGAGGGTTTAACACCTCCCCACAATTGGCAGACGAGCAGAGCAACGAGTGATTTTATTATCAAACTTGATCTGGATAAAGGCCATGCCGAGCCGTTGCCAGCCTCACTGAGTCTCGAGACAATTTTTAATGGTAGGGAATGGATGCAATTGTGCTGGTGGTTGAAATAGTTACAGGAAAGGTCAATAAACAAATTACCAAAGATCCCCCGTATATAGCCTTACCATACTTTTTGGGACAAGTGCTGCTAGCGAGCACCTATGAAGGCCGGTACAACACACGAGGGGGTGGGCGGCCAGCACCACGCCCGGCCGCCTTTGTCTCCTGCGTGGCAATGTTTATACACCACACCAGGTACTCATTTGAGGCTGAATCGACCTAGGGGAGGCCTAGGATCAGTTCAGATAATCGTCACCGGTGATGGCCGTGAACGCGAATTGAACTCGGGATGCCGAGTTCGTAGCGCTGCGCACTTATCACTGCGCCACCGTTCCCCGCGAATTGACGAACGCACACACAACAACAACGGCCATTCACCACTAAGTAGTGGTGACGTCACTACGGCGCCTGTGCCAGGCCAGGTGCACTTTGAGGCCACGCGAAGTGTCGAAGGTTCGCTGGACAGACCCACGGTGCCACGGGTTGCCCGACTGAGATGACTCTCAGACGCAGCAGCCGTGCGACCTGCAATGTGCGCGCGCGCGTGCGTCACGCCCTCACCTTCTTGTCGCCGATCTCCTGGCTGGGCGTGAGCACCTGCGCGTGCACCTGGGTCCCCACGGCCACGCGGCCGTGTGGCTCGGGCTGGGCCACGCCGGTCGGCGTGTTCACCCAGCACGTCACGTCGGCGCTGGCGCTCACCGAGAAGGTCACGGCGCCAGGCGGTGCCAACCTGTGAGCGGGCGGACGGGAGCAATGTCAAAGGCGTCCACGCGAGCAGCCTCTCACGATGTGTAACGCAGCGACGGGGCTGGTGCGGCCCTGCGGTTTGCGCTGCTGAGAGAAGGGCCTCGGCTGGAGGGATCTCTTAGCAGAGCCCCTGTGGAGGGTGTTTTAGGCCTACTCTTCCGCGCCAGTCGAACGTCCCGTTAACAGGTGGGAGCACCCACACTTTATTCAAAATGCTATATTGGACAGACGGGGCGTAACATCAGTGTAAGACTAAAAGAACACCAAAGAAATATTAAATGATCTGAAACACAACTGTCGGCAGTGGCAGAACATGCTTGCCAACAGGGACACTCAATTTATTTTGATAACGTTGTCTTTTGTCAACGTGACACTTTTTTGCTGATTGGCCGTGTCGGGTGGTGGAGGGTTACGACACATTTATAAATAACGCGATCAAACCCAAAAACTTTATTATTAATAATATTGGTCGCGAAAGCCTACGTGTTAAACTAACCCACGCTTTACCCCGCCATACGCGACCTGCCAATTGGCTTAACCCGTATCGCGAGATCGAGCATATGAGACCAGACCTTTTTAAAGTGGGGACAAAATTGTCACTTTCACGAAAACTTCGTGACGCCAGGACAGCCTTTTGTGATGGAACTGGTACTGTCATGCCCAAACCAGGACATTTCGTAACTTTAGTTTATGTGAAGCGAAGTGTGATCTGGGAAAAAAATATCGAGAACCCATGTACATATATGATTAAATATATCCCATACGAACATCATTTTAACACTTTACAATGCACTCTGAATAGTTTCTTTACGTATCATTTCCCCACATATGGCTTCAAAATTGACTTATTTCGAATGTTTCACCCGCTACATCCACCTACTCTCAACAATAATCGGTTACTCCCCTTTACAGTGAGGTTCTGTGGGTTATCACGTGTCTCTTCCCGGACACCCCTCAAATCACCCATGGCCAGGTGACAATGTGCTCAAGCCACATGCCATCATGTGCTACAAAGAAGACAGCTGTCACGGGACCAGAAGGATATCATATTGCTAGCTAGGACAGGGGAGCAGCGGCGCACATTGATAGAGCGCTGCGATTTTAACCTGGCCACCAGGGTCCAATTCCATGAAAACGCACCTAATAGTTCAGATTCAGATATATCACAGGTGAGGGAAGGGGTGACGGAGATGCCTGGTGTATAACGACACGTTGGGTTGTTGAATTGCGGAGACTGCTGTCGTGTGGAATGGAGTCCATGAGTGGGTATGACGACCCATGGCACCGTGGGGGATATGGACACAGCTGGGAGAGTGGAGGAGGGGAGAGGCGGGGAGAGGTGAGAGGAGGGGAGAGGTGTGAGGGTAGGGGAGAGGCGAGGTGAGGTGAGGGGAGAGGGAGAGGAGGGGAGTGGTGATGGGAGAGCTGAGGGGAGCGGAGAGGAGCGGTGAGGTTAGGGGAGAAGAGAGGTGTGGTGAGGGGAGGTAAGGTGAGTGGAGGTGCGGGGAGAGCTGAGGGGAGGGAGAGGAGGGGAGAGGTGAGGGTAGTGGAGAGGTGAGGTGAGGTGAGGGGTGAGCTGAGGAGAGGGGAGAGGAGGGGGGAGCAGGGTAGAGGGGAGGTTAGGGGACAGCTGAGGGGAGGGGGGAGGTGAGGGGAGAGGGATCAGGAGAGAGGTGAGGCCGGACGTTAAGTGGAGAGGACAACCCCCTTACAGTGGACGTTCTACCTTCAAACGTCAGTTCCAGAACCTAATGGAATGATGATTCTCGAGTGGTACGGGTCGTGTGCGGCTAGTTAGTTCCAACTGGCCATTGCACGCATTCTGGGTCACCAGAAATGTCTCCTGGGGCTCATGTGAGTTTTGCGAATGTTGAGTTCAGTGTGTTCAGCTGTTGTGGTGTAAATGTGAAAACAGGATTTCTGCCCTCGGATTAGTTTGTGATAGCTGAAATATTCAAATGTCGTCCAGGAAATGTAGAATGAGAGTTTTACAAGGTGTGTTAAAATAGTCGCTACGTCAGATGAGAATTGTTTAATGTGTGAAGAGCCAAGACGAACTGTTTATTTGTTATTTTGCTTCAGGCTTCAAAGATCATTAGTTGGAGAAACAGCTATGCACCAACCTGATGTGCCTGCCTTGTTGATTTTTTACGTTCGACAATACCGCACAATTTCGGTTTATATATAGTATTAATTTGACGCTGTACAGAATCAGTGGGCAAATATCTTTACATTTTGAAGTGTCAAATCAACATACAACTGAAGCCGTCAACTATTGATGGCTAGGCACTTCCACCTCAAGTATTTTTTTACAAGATAAACATTGAAATCGCTGGATTTAATTTATTGCTGTCATAACCCCACTTGTCAAAAGTTTTTATGCAATCTCGATTTGAAGTTATGCAGCCTCCTGCCAGAGGCAGAGTGTCTTGAGAAATGCAAGCCTCAACCTTATATTGTCTGCACCAAGCCAGACATGCCCTCAGGCCCCCTTATGAATTATCAACACAAAACTTCTGAGTTGCAGTGATTAATTTGTCACTCGGTGTTTTCCGGAACACTGCTCTCAGGCTGGCTTGGAGTCGGGCTTATTGGCGTAAGGCACTACCACTCAAGTCTATGTATAATAAGTCCATATTATTGTACCCTACATTCATATAATCATATCAACAGGTTAATACATATTTATGAATGGACGTTCCACCGTTGTCAGCGCGTGGTTTTCATTAAACGCAACGTCAATCGAATTTCACGAAGACAAAACAAAGGCCGGATGCATGTGGCGTGCGGGACATTCCGGTTGAAATTAAGCCGTGACCGTAGAATAATTCTGGCTGATATAAAACAGACTGCATGAAATGGAATTGTGTAATATATGTAATTTGTTGTTTTATATATACAGAAAAGCCGTTTTAATGATACACCCTCATACAATCTTAACCTTTATTATGAATCTTACCATCTTCTCAACTGGAGATGAATTCATTATTGTCCAAGCGATTTCTCAACATTTTTACAACCAATCGATCGGTCTTAATTCTACGTTCCTAAAGCGGAGATAATCGGTGCACATTACGACGGGAGCGGTTAACAGGGGGCACGCAGCAACAAGGAATTAAACATAGAAAAACAGTCACGACCTCAGCGTTACAGAGATTTCGTGGGTGTGCATTGTGACCGGTGGGAGATGTGCAGATGTTCTGAAATTAACGTCGTTTTCTCCTTGATTTCCCCCCCCCTCTCCCCTATTAATTTTAGTAGGTTATCTATAGTGAATAAACCTGTATCGTGCAAATGTTGTGGACTACGTATGGTATAGTTGGGGCAATTGTTGTCAGGAGAAAGCGATGCAGCAAAATATATTGTTGGAACTCTACTATGCGCCAACACCGATGCTCCCTCCTTAACCGACTCGCACTGACAAGTGTGATGAAGTATGGTGAAATAAATGCCATGATCTGCACGCTGTGGTGAGGCCCTCGTCCAGCAGTGGATTGACAAAAGGGCTGTATGTGCATGTACCCCTTTCATGCAATTCGTCTGCCCGCATTGCTCCGCGAAACTTGCTCAAGGTGTTTTCGAGACACTTCTTGTCTTTGGAATGCGAATTTCATTTTGTCGACAGGTCGCCTCGTGTTTCTCGACGTTTGTTGTCACGCATTCAAGATTCCGTTTTGAGAATCCAGATCCGAATAAAAACAAATGAGCTACCTGGAAATGACGTGTTGAAAAGCTACGCATTTTTTGTGTGTGTGTGAAATGCCGATGAACATGTGAGGTAAACGTGTCAAGAAGGATGAAAACCATCGTTCGGTTGAGAATCAGGAGGCAGAATTGTGTGCGTAGCCACGGTTTACCAGTCTCTGCTTTAGATCACGTGAATTTCAAATTGGACAAATTAGCTTCCCACACCAACAGACCAGCCTCATGGCATTGACGGTCATGAAGACCACGAGATATGGTAGCAGGAGCTTGGAGAAGCCTCCGTTCACAAATAAATAAGGCCTGATTGCTAAATATTACGAAAATAAATGAAAGACTAAAGACCAAAACACTCCCATAAAAGTGGGTCATTACTTGTTTTTAACTAAATACTTGGATGAGCATTAATAAGCAACCCTATATCATAATTGTACACACACACAGCTCCGTGTGTCACTCACTGGTACTCACACAGCTCCATGTGTCACTCACTGGTACACACACACAGCTCCATGCGTCACTCACTGGTACACACACACAGCTCCACGCGTCACTCACTGGTACACACACAGCTTCATGTGTCACTCACTGGTACACACACAGCTCCATGCGTCACTCACTGGTACACACACACAGCTCCATGCGTCACTCACTGGTACACACACACAGCTCCATGTGCCACTCACTGGTACACACACACACAGCTCCATGTGTCACTCACTGGTACACACACACAGCTCCATGTGTCACTCACTGGTACACACACACAGCTCCATGTGTCACTCACTGGTACACACACACACAGCTCCATGTGTCACTCACTGGTACATGTCCATGACCAGCTCAGTGCCCAGGACGAAGACCTCTTCCAGGACCTTGTCCAGCTGCAGGTGGATTGTCCGAGTCGTGGCCATGTTGAGCACTGGGAAGATTCGATTGGCGACGTCGGCAGCGAGAGAGGTCAGCGACGGAGAGCAAGTGAGCGAAACAGTGGAGCAGCAGCAGCAGAGATGGAATGAGAGAGAGAGAAGCGTCGGAGGGAGCAGCTGTGAAGCGAGGACGGGGTGTGGTCGTGAACTCCCTCGTTTTAAAGGCTGCGGGCCACCTCGTCATACACGTGCGAGCTGAATGGCTGGAGCAGATTACACGCACAGACACTCTGGCCACTCATGAACATGTACAAGATCAGCAAGGTAATAATGCCTCGCTCCCAAATCTGTCCCCACATTTGATGGGTTTTTTTAAACCCATCATTTTAAAACCCCATTACTTTTCTTGGTGTTTCTAGATTTGAAGTTTTCGTAACTGCAAGGGTCCATACTCTTTGGCTTTTTCGGTAAAGTCACGTAGGCAAACTCCGGGACCTGTTTCGGCGTTAAGTTTCCTCGTCAGCAGATGCAGTCTCGCTTAAACCGACGCCGATGAACAACTGCCACACGTGAACAGGCAAGGGACCCGCTTCGTTCGGTATGGGTCCAGAGTTTCACCAGCGCTGGGTTCAAGCAAGCCCGCAGGCCGATGCCAACAGACCACTGGGGCAGTGGCGGCTCCTGCAAAATCTCTCAGGGGGGGTAAATGTCTGGATGATTGATAAGGATAAGGTCCACCCATGCAATGGATAAATTAACAGCTTAAGCATGTAAAGGCAACTTCACTTCTTTAATATTAATGAAAAATAAAGTGACTCTTACAATACATCTTGTTTGTTTCTATACTCACTATTAATACAATCCACTCAAGTTTATTTTATTAAAGATTCCACTAGGTGGCGACAAATTATATTGTTGGATGAAACGTGCTTACGTATGATGACGTAAGCACGTTAGGGCGAGCCCTCCCGGAAGCCATAGAGCATGCATTGCAGCGCCCGCCGTTCGAAAAAAAACATCTTTGAATGTAAGTCTATGGGGCCACTCGGGGCGATTCTCAGCCGGAGTGAAATCGCCCAAAAAGAGGCGGTACTCCACAGAACGTGACATGACGCTGATTGGACTATATCCAGAGGCACAGTGACGGCTAGCGTGACTCTGTGGTTGAATGACATTGGTGGTGCGTCGCCCAATCGCCCTAATGAAGAAACCGCCCCTGCACTGGGGTAACATCAAAACCGGCCCAGAGTTGGTGTCGAACCAATGCCGCTGGAGATCACGGACGCCCTGACTGATGGGATATACAACAACAAGAACTAAGAGAAAATAAATTAAATCACGACGTTTCGGACGCAACACAAGCAACCGTCGTGAGGTGTTGACTGCTCCAGCAAACACGCCTCAGTAATTTTGCTGGAGCAGTCAACACCTGATGACGGTGGCTTGTGTGGCTTCCGAAACGTCGTGATTTAATTTATTTTCTCTTTGTTGTTGTTGTTGTTGTATGTCCCATCAGTCCGGGCGTCCGTAATCTCCAGCGGCATTGGTTCGACACCAACTCTGGGCCGGTTTTGATGTTACCCCAGTGGTCTGTTGGCATCGGCCTTCAGGCTTGCTTGAACCCAGCGCTGGTGAAACTCTGGACCCATATCGAACGAAGCGGGTCCCTTGCCTGTTCACGTGTGGCAGTTGTTCATCGGCGTCGGTTCAAGCGAGACTGCATCTGCTGACGAGGAAACTGAACGCCGAAACAGATCCCGGAGTTTGCCTACGTGACTTTACCGAAAAAGCCAAAGAGTATGGACCCTTGCAGTTACGAAAACTTCAAATCTAGAAACACCAACAAAATGATGATGCGCTCCCAAAAGGCTGTGTGGGGGCCGTTGGTTTTGTGTAAAAAAAAAATTGACCTTTTTTTCGCGAAGGGACATAGACCTCAAGGAAACGTATTAGTAGGCTTTCGCGATCAATATTATCCATATTACAAGGGGGTTTTGGGGGGGTTAGATCGCATAAATTATCATGACCCCCCCCCCCTCCCTAATGGCCTTCACACGTGAGGTGCTCACAAGTAACGTCATCACATCTACCCCTCCATTTAAGGAACGAAACAGGAGGATTTCTTCACAAATTTGGCTGTCGCCTGATGATGTTGGTTGTAATTACCGGCGAAACGTCGTACTCGGATTATAAATGTTGTGTATTTACTTTACAACACACCGGTGTGCTGTACCAGTAACGAATTGGCATGTTCTGTTTACGTGACAAACATTTCTGATTGGCTGTGTCGGGTGGTGGCAGATTTAACGACACATTTATATTTACGCGATCTAACCCAAATATGACATTCAATTAAGGAAACGTATTGTCTGCGAATATGCTTCACACATTTTCTCCACAATGGCCCGAATTTATATAATGTCACGGTCAGTGCAAATACACAGCCCCCTTTGTCAACATGAGCGGTGAGCGATATCCATGAACGCCAAATCCCACAACAAACCCATTTCACCGGTACGCACTGACCAGCGTGACGAAGTATGGTCGAACAACCCCAATGAGTCGGCGTCGGAAGGCATTCACCCATCGGTGAGCTGACACACGGTTGTCAATTATTTTGACGCATTACTACTCGATAGCATTATTAATCGGACTGCCTGTGTCTCTGTGTGTCTATGTTGCGTGTTGTGGGGGCCGTTGGCCCCCGGGGTCCCTCCCGCCTGCATCCCCTATTCCGTTTAAGTTACCCCACCTCCCTATTACTCGCTACGGTTTTGCCGGCATTCGAATGCGACGCCACTACGGTTACAGCCTCGCGCCGCGCTCCCACGCTGCGAGCATACGTGCGCACATCATCGTCAATCAAACGCCGTGCTCGCAGTATAGCCCTGTGCGGCACGTTACCAATGCGCATCCGTGTCCGACATGTAACGAACGTATGCACACACACACACGCCGCTCCGTGCACTCCAACTCCACACCAACTACGCAAGTTATGATCGCGCACCTGTATCACACACGGAGTGAACACACGCGACACCCACTCTTGCGCCGCTCTGCGCAGCGCTCGCCGTCTGCTGGCCGCTTGCGTTATGATCGCGCACCTGGGGTACGCCTATTACGCACGCCGCGAGCTTACGCACACACAGTACCACACGCGTTCCCACACGCAACCCGCGCGCTCAGCTCCGCGCAGCGCTCACTCACGTGGCGAACCACTGTGCACACAGCGCACCCACACGCTCACACTGCACGACAAGATCACGCGAGACCACGCTTCGCTATTAATGATTTATTATATGCCACCTGCGAATTGATGTTGAATCAGTGAGTCGACGAGGCTGGCCTATTCCACTAAACCTGTACCTATTCCCTATTTATCGGCTATGATTCTAATTCCCCTTCTTACTCACTGTTAAGTGTCCACGGCGGTCCGCTGATCCTTGTGTTAACCGCGTGCCTCGGTGCGTCGCACGGACGTCCGGGTCGCTGGCTCGAGCTGCGTCTGGTCGCCTGGCGCTGGAGTAAGAGAGCGATTTCCCCTCTGCGCTCCTCTATTTATCCTCCCTACCTCCCAAAGGGGATGCTGCGCTGAACAATGGGCTCGTGCACCCCAAGCCCGCGCACGGCAGTCCCCAGGCGCTGTTGATATGCTAATCAGTGTGCTGCGTGCAAGGCGTAAATCCTAATTACTCCCTTACCCTTCCTACCAATGGGGCTTGCGCGCTCAAGCGCAATTATCCCAACCCTCCATGACTATGCGCAACAGCCCCTGTGACCCCGCTATTCATGCTGTCCCGTGCCTCCCCTGCTTGCCCCGTCGACTCGTGGGGGTGTGTGTGGGGGGAAATGCGCCTCAACCGCGGTGGCCGAATGCCCCACGCCGCGACCACACCATATTAAGGCCGGCAGCAGCGCCGCGGTACCACGTAGCACGGGGGAGGTCATCCAATTCCCTGATCGCCGGAAACCGTGAGAATTAATCCCGATAAGGGTCTCTCGGATAAAAACCGGTCGATCAGGTAACCTTCCCTTCCAGCTCTATGGGGGGGGGGGGGGGGGGGGATGCGTGCGGGTGTGTGCTTATGTGGGGCGGGTGATTGGGGGCAGTGCGGTGGGGGAAGCCGGGCGGCTCCCTGGCTCGGCAGAGCGGCCCCGTCGCTGTGGCACCACATAGCCCCCCGGGGTGCCAGTCCCCGTCCCGGGTTGACTTGAGCACCTCGCCTGGGTTGCCCCCACGAGGTATCGCCGCGGGGTCCGCGGGATTCGCCCGGCCCTTGTGGTTGGCCTCGGGGGTGGCGGCTCCGTCTCCTGGGGCTCCGGCGGGGGTCTCCTCCTCCATTCCAACGGCTCCCCTCGGCCTCTGGCACCTGCGGGCTGGGGAACAAACTCAGAGGCGGTGGGGTTTAAGGGTCGCCGTCCTCGTCGCCCCCGGCCCCGCCCGGGGCCCCTCGGAGCCCGGGGCTCCGTGGGGCCCATGTACTGCGCGAGGCCCCCGGGCACGGGGGGTGGGGGGACCCCGGGGTTTCGGGGTACTTGGACGGCGGGGCTCCCCCCTCGGGGGCTGCTCGCCACGGCTTCAGTCGGCGGATGTTGACCACCATCTCCCGGCCCCTCTCTCCTCCCTGAATCAGCACCGTCCATGGTGAGATCTGCCGTCTCACAATCCAGGGTCCTCGCCAGTAGGTGGTCAGCTTCCCCACCTGTCCGGCACCGACGCGGGGAGTGTACAGCCACACCTCGGAGCCCGCAGTGTAGAAGGGGGGCTCCATACGGGGTCGGGCGCCCTGCTCTTGCCGCTGGTGCGCGGCCTCTCCGTGCGGGCAGGCTCGGCCCCTGGCCCCTCGCAGGGTCTCCAGCAAGTGCTCCACGGGGTGGCTCCCTTCCTCCCGTTGCGGCGGAGGAACACCGAACAGCAGATCTGCGGGCAGGCGAGACTCGTGACCAAACATCATTAGGAACGGGGTCTGTCCTGTAGAGGTGTGAACGGCGGTGGTGTAGGCGAACAGGGCATAGGGAAGGTGTTCGTCCCAGTCCTGTTGATTCGCGGCCG